CTCAAGAATCCTTCCTGTACTTGACTTTTAAAATGATAATACAAGACAGTGATACATATGATATAAAATAAAATAAAATAAAACAAAATAATAAAATAAAATAAAATAAAATAAAATAAAATAAAATAAAATAAAGTCTTCACTGTTTAAGTCAGCCTGAGCTGGGCTTTCTATTACTAGTAGATAAAATATCTTGAGAGATAATTTTTTTCTGGTTCTAAAAGTAGTGGCCATTCATTTAGAAAATGTAGAAAAGACAGAAAAGCAAAAACACTTAATAATTCCACCACCTAGAGATAAGAACTGTAAACTGTTTCTTGTGACTTTCTGATCTTTTCCTATATGTGGGTATCAGCACTTTAAAAATTCACAACAATAGTGCACATAATACTTTATATTTTGTTTTATTTGCCTAATGACATGTAATGAACCCAGGAGAAATTATTCTTTCCATTTGATTTTCCAAATGCATATTATTGCATTTTAGGGTTGTATTTTCTGTCCCCTTTTTTTATATAGTTGGATAAAATTATAATTTTTCCATGTGATAAATAATACTAGAATAATATCACTGTGCATATAATTTACACATGTTTATGTTCTTGCATATATTGTTATAAGTGGAGATTTGTTCATAAGATCTGAACATACTAAAAGCTTTTGATACATATTTCCAAATTTCTAGATTATATTCAAAATTAGAGGTAATCAGTGTTTAACATATAAAAAGTTGTGTTTGTCAATTCAAGGTAAGCACTTACAACAGTTTTTCTCATCCATGGCATCAGGGCAGTCTGGGAACCCATCACAGATAACTGTGTGCTTCAAACATTGTTTATTGGATGGACATTCCCAAAGATCTCTCTCTTTACAGCCTGAAGACAGAAGAAAAGGTTATTTGCAATAGATGTGGAGATGAAAATAATGATGGATTTGATGAAGCAACGTAGAAAAATTATAGCGCAAAGTCATGATTTCTTTCTTCTTAAAAAGTCTTGACTTCTGGGGGTTCCTGGGTGGCTCAGTCAATTAAGTGTCCAACTCTTGATTTTGGCTCAGGTCATGATCTCACGGTTCATGAGATGGAGCCCCACATCAGGCTCTGCGCTGGCAGCACGGAGCCTGCTTGGGATTCTCTCTCTCCTTCTCTCTCTGCCCCTCCCCCACTCACATGCTCATTCTCTCTCTCCTCTCTCTCTCTCTCAAAATAAATAAATAAACATTTTTTAAAAAGGCTTGGCTTGACTTCTGTATACCATGAAAACTGTAATTTTTAGAGCAGAAATCTTCGATAATCTCCATGCTGCAATATAAATAGGACAGCTTTCCTAAGAGAAGATCAAAAGTGACATATGGGAAAAGGGTGAAAAAGTGGAAAAACAGCTATACACTGACGCTCATCTTTAGCTGTTCTTTTTGCCTTCGGAGTCCATTTGCCAATGCATTAGACTCAACTATGAAATGATAACTTATGCTTTAAGTAAATATGCTAAAACCTAGTGATTTAGATGCATATTATCTTAAAAATGTAATTTCAGTCAACAAATAGAAAGGCCATCTGTGTGTTTAGTAAGAGGCGCCTCCTATGCCAAATAGCAACAAAATTAATTTATTTTTATTTTTTTTAATTTTTAATGTTTATTTATTTATTCATTTATTTTAAATATATGAAATTTATTGTCAAATTGCTTTCCATACAACACCCAGTGCTCATCTCAAAAGATGCCCTCTTCAAT